TGAGGAGGAGGACTGGCCTTCTATTAGCATGGGCAACAGCTGCAAGCAGGCCTCGTTTGGAGGTTTGTGTGAAAGTAAAGTTGAGCAAAGCCCACTTATACAGAGGGAAAAAATTAACTTACAAATGAAGCGCAGATCTAATTTATAAAGTGAACATTCCAGTGATGTCTGATTCTCTCTCCTGGAAGTAAAAATCCTCACAAAGGTAGAGGATGGTTTGTATTAGAATTTTAAAACCCTCATTTAGTTGCTACGCTGGCAATTTGCCCGAGGCCAGAATTCAGAAACAAGAATTGATACGTAATGCAAAGGTTTGCAGAGAGCCAAAACATTTAATGGAATTTACAGGCTATTTCAAGTTCTCCTTTCGGGGGGTCTGTGGATGTCGGCTCTTGTATGGGTAGTTTCCAATCAGATCACACCATTCCAGTTCTGTTTTGTGCAAGTCACCTGGTGTTTGAGGAAGAAAGGGGGATTGCTACTCTAATATTTAAATCTACCTGTTTAAGGAAATACTTCTTTTCCTGCAGAAACATACTCTGTTTCTTCAAAGCCAACTTACCGACCTTTCCGAGCTTTTCATAAAGAGCTTCTCAATTATTAGTTTTTTTTTTTGTACAAGGAACAACATTGTCTCAACATTCTAAGTCTCTCACAAGACTGATCTGTGTGCAGCTATGTTTCAGTAAACACTAATTACACCGAATTCACAATCTCATTAGCACAGAAAGACCGTGACACCAACAGAGAGAAGAGCATAAAGTAAGTCATCTGGAAAGTGGGAGTTTGTGACTCAGTCCGGGATTTGTTTCTGGAGTTGTCAACGGAAACAAATTCAGTCCTTGACTGAGGACTAAACTTGACAAAGCCATCTGCACTTGATTGGCCAGACAGAAAACAAAAGCCTTGACCTATCATAGGCTTTCATTCATGGGTAGACCTGTGCTAGGCTTTAATTCTAATTCATGGGTAGATCTGTAATAGGCTTTCATTCATGAGTAGACCTGTGATAGGTTTTCACTCACTGGGTAGAGGGGAGGAAGGCCTGAAGGTTTTATTTTGGAAAACAGGAGTGTGTGCCTATTTGAATAGAAAGATGGGCATGGAGAATAACACCAGGGATATACTGTATTAACTAATGGTCAGGGAAAACAAAACAAAACAAAAAACTAGTGCAGAGGCAAAAGTTGCACCCTGGGCCAAATCCTCTTCATTGCTTCACACAGTCATTAGCTAATCTTGTGCTATTGAACACAATGGGACAGGGGATTGTGATGGAGTCCAGGGGCTGGAGAGACAGGTCATCGGGAAAGAGCGGGCACTGCTCTCAAGAGGACCTGAGTTCAGTGTCCTCCACCACATCCCCACATTGGGAGGCTCACAATTCCTGTAACTCCCATCCCCAGCAGATCTGCCACGGACACCTGCCCAAGCATGAACACACACACATAAATGAAGTAAGGTTTTTTTCCCCTCCTTCCACCAATGATGTAATGCCACCTTGCAGGAGAGGGGTAAGTCCCTCGGATTGGTTCCTGAGAGGATGAGTTTTTACAAAAG